AGAGGGAAGACAGAGTGAGAGAGTGAGAGGGAAGATAGAGTGGAAACACAGAGAGAGAGGTTTCGATCATGGAGGAGGAGAAGGGAGAGTGGTTTGAGGAGATGGAAGACAGAGTGAGAGGGAGAGAAAGATGGTGCATATCAGTCGAATGGAGGTTGGATGATTCTAGAGAAATCATTTCAACTATTGAAGTTTTATACGCGGACGATGGAGATGCTTTCATTATGTATAAAAAGAGCCGTTGTGCTCTGTATGGTTAAAATTATAATAAAAAAATAAAAATAAAAATAAACATTAATTTTTTTTACAACAGCTATCTTCAAACGGCTATTTCCCCCCAAACGGTAATATTTTGAATTTCTATAAATTGAAACCCTCCATGTCAATTTTATTTCACAACAAACATTTGGAATTAATTTTCTTTTTTCCTCTCTTCTCTGAATTTGATTTCATAGCAAACCTCTAAAATTATTTTCTTTTTGGTTTTTTCATCCATTCACTATGGAAGGTTCATAAAAAATAAAAAGAGGAAAATCATTCACCATTGAAGAAGATATGACAATTTGTAAATCTTGGTGTCACGTTTCGGAAGACCCAATTTTTGGCAATTTGTAAACGTATGCTCATTTTTTGGAGAGAATTTACGAAAATTATTGCTTGCTTCAGAATGATCAGTCAAGAACACAAGTGTCTATTCAATCTCGATGGGGTATAATCATGAAATGTTGTAACAAATTTCGGGGGTGTTTAACGCAAGTCGAAAATCTTCACCCAAGTGGATATCTCAAGTTGATATAGTAAGTTTTCATCTTCAGTTATTATGTTTAGTTTCTTATTCAAGTCTTGTATAAAAATTAACTAATTAAATAATGTTTCAATTTTTTTTATACAGATGCTTCAAGCAAAACTGTTATACCATCAAGATGAAAACAAACATTTTGCTTTTGAACATTGTTGGCCAATCTTGCAAGACAATATCAGGTGGCAAGATATAACTCCTACGAATACGGTAAAGTCAAGGATGCATACAACGTTTACCCCTAATTCAACCCCCGATTCCCCCATGAATAACTGCATTTCTCTTGAAGACGACAACAGTCCAAGTGTTGGTAATAATCCAACTGTTGTTGAGGGCAGTGTCTCTGCAAGGGATAAAAGGCCTATGAGTAGGAAAGCTGCAAAAGAATTATTTCAGAGAAATCAAGTCATTGAAACTGAAGTCCAAAAAATGAGCATACAATTGGAGACATTTAACCAACACCTTGCTGAGAAAGAAAAGAAAAAAGAGGAAAGAGAAGAAAAAATGATTCAAGCACTGCAGTAGATGAATGAACTTGAGATGAAAAAACATGACTTTGAAATGAAAAAAGAACATATAATAATGATTATGGGCATTTCTCATTTGGACCCTCAGATGAAAGCGTATTAGACAATGCAAAAAAATGAGATTTTCGCCAAGTAGTCCTCAAATGTGAGCAGCCCAAATTCTTATTTCCCCTATCTCCTGATGAATAATTACCTGATAATGTATTTTTAAATTTTGCAATGTCATTTAATTTTTGATGTAATTGTTGGTCTTTATTTGCAGTGTCATTTTTTATTTTGTAATGAAATCTCATGTGTGTGTGTTTTTTTTTTTTTGAGTTTTTTCTACAAAACAATGTAATATTATTTTTGCAATGTATAATGTTGACTAATTTTTAAAATAATTTAAAATTTTCAATAAAGTATAATGAAAAAAATAAATATATTTTTTCAAATGAAGGCAATAAAAAGATAAAATACATTAAATGAAGATAATTCTATTATAATAAAAAGGCATTAACTGTCATTAAAAAGATAAAATACAAATTTAATCTAACTCTCCAGCTCGGGACCACAATTGTTCAATTAGATCATTATGATTTGCATTATGGGCTTCAGTAGATCTAATCCTCTGCCGATTCAATGTAAATTGAGCATACTCCTCGTTCGGATCACGTGACACTTAACAACAGGTATTACTGGTATCAGTCTCAAGTTGTGCTGCACTACGTTCATTTTCTGGAATATTATGCTCATCTTCAATGATCATATTATGCAAAATAATGCATGTCTTCATGATGTAATACAGATCCTCATCACTCCAACCTCTAGTTGGAACTCTGACAATATTAAATCGTGCTTGGAGCACTCCAAATGCCTTTTCGACATCCTTCCGACATGCCTCTTGTATCCTCACAAATAGTTGTCTCCTTGCGCCTTAAGGTTGAGATATTGTTTTCACAATTGTTGCCTAACGAGGATAGATACCATCAGCAAGATAATACCCCATGATGTACGCGTGATTATTGATGGTGTAGTTGGCAACAGGGGCATGTCCTCTAGTTAATTCAACAAATAAAGGCAACCTATCAAGAACAGTAATATCATTTAGAGAGTCAGGCATGCCAAATCCACAAGTCATAGGAGGCAGCTACCTCGAGTACAACTATTGGTTTGTGGTAGTGTCTAGTGTAAGCACCGACTTGGGCAGTTGGACATTTATCCCAATGCCAATGCATACAATCCAAACTCCCTAACATTCCGGGAAACCCGCGTTGCTCTCCCTTTTGCAATAATCTGGTGACATCTGCTTCATTTAGGGATCTTAAGTAAACGGCTTCATAGGTAGTAACAATTGATCTGGTAAAAAATTTCAAGGCGACAATTGTAGTATTTTCGTCAATTCTAATGTACTCGTCTACAACATCAACAGGCACGCCGTATTGCAGGATCCGAAGTGCTGCAGTCATCTTCTTTACACTAGATAATCCAGGAGCATCAGTGGCATCACGGGTTTGGATAAAATACTCATTCACTTGTTGAATATCATGTAAGATACTAACAAACAATGATCGTCTCATTTGAAAACATCTTTGGAAATTTTTTTCTAGATAGACAAGATTATCTGCAAAGTAATCTCTATAAATTTGTTCGTCGCCTTTGATCCTCTCACGATTAATGTATCGATGACCACTTGTGGAACCAACACGTCTAGTTGGTTGGTTTAGGCTTAACGCTTGTATTCTTTGTTGTTGCACTGTGAACAGTTGCATCATGATGATATCATCATCAGATGATGAAGATTCATCAAAATCTCCATCGAATATGGCATTAGTCAAATTGTTCATTGTAGGTGGATGGGTGAGTGGGTGAATACGAAAATTGTAGAAAATCTTCTAAGTGGGTACAGAAAGTTTAGAAAGATATGAAAATGATGGGTAGGTGAATATGAAATTGTAGAAAACCTTGTGTTATATTTATAAAGAAAATTATGAGTGGGTGAATAATGGATGGGTGTTGGGTGTGTAGTTGTTGGTGAATGAATGCTGGGTTAATAATGAGTGGTTGTTGGTGGGTAATTGGTGATTGTTTATTTTTTATGTGTAGTTAAAAAAATTTATTAAATCTGTAGTGATATGTTTTTTAGTGGGGTGAATTATATTTAACTTTTTCCCCCAATGTTTTAATTTTTTTAATTTTTTATATAGAAAGATATGAAAATGATGGGTAGGTGAATATGAAATTGTAGAAAACCTTGTGTTATATTTATAAAGAAAATTATGAGTGGGTGAATAATGGATGGGTGTTGGGTGTGTAGTTGTTGGTGAATGAATGCTGGGTTAATAATGAGTGGTTGTTGGTGGGTAATTGGTGATTGTTTATTTTTTATGTGTAGTTAAAAAAATTTATTAAATATGTAGTGATATGTTTTTTGGTGGGGTGAATTATATTTAATTTTTTCCCCAATGTTTTAATTTTTTTTTTAATTTTTTATATTTGTTTAGTTGGAAATAATATAAATATATAATTTTTTTTACAAACAGGTAAAAAAATGTCACAAAAGTCAAAAAATAAACAAAAATAAAATCATAAAAAAACCTATATTTAAATAACACCTACAAACTTAGAGAGAAAATTAGTTGAGATTTGCCAAAATAACAAATGACCATTGGAATACCATTACTAAAATTTGACAAAATAATATTATTTATTACCAAATTATAACAATGACAATAACATTATAGCAAGCATGGGTAGATGCTCTTACCAAATTATACCTTTTAAATTGCCATTCATGCTAGAGACCACTAGTTTAGGGGTTGTTTAGGGTGTTCTAAATAAGTGCATTTTTTATCTTTTTGGACTAAAAAATTGAGGTTGAAAATATGGATGTTTGGGTTAATTTTTTGACTTTTTATGGAAAAATGTGTAATAAAAAATTGTAAAAATTGATTTGTAGAGAAAAATTCGAATTGGGAGTTGTGCAGCCATAATTGTTGACTTTTGGTGAATAATGTTAACTTTTTAACTTTTTGAGTAACTTTTTAGCTTTTTGAATTTTTTACAAGTTTCCAAACTTGGCTTTAATAAACTATTTAGCTCATTTAGGGGTTACTTGGGGTGTCCTAAATAAGTATACTTTTGTCTTTTTAGACTAAAAATTTGAGGAAAAAAATATGAATGTTTGGATTAATTTTTTGACTTTTTATGAAAAAATGTGTATTAAAAAATTGTATAAATTAGTGTGTAGGGGGGAGTTGTGTAGCCATAATTTTTGATTTTTGGTGAATAATGATAACTTTTTAACTTTTTGACAACTTGCCAAACTTGACCTTAGTAGATCTAAACCCACCATTAATAAAGTAGAAAAGTAATTAACAAAAATAAAAAACAACAACACAACACATACCGTAACAATAAACAAAACCCACTACAACATTATTAGTGATAACTTTAATTAGACCTTTCACTCATTTTCCGTCGTCATTTACACAACTATCGCAGGGAAGTTGACCTTAGAAACACCAAGTTCCATGTCCTATGTGAACACATTTTAAACACGTGGGTTAAAAATAAAAATCAAAAAAATAAAATTTGCATATTCCAAATATTGGAAGAAGCAAAAAATTAGTGGAAATAACAATTTTTTAATATTTGGATTTTGGGAAGTTTGAACTGTGACACTGTCCCGCTCTCTCTCACGCTCCTCTCTTATATCTCTTCTTTATTATTACAACCAACACCACCACCACACTCTTCTCTCTCTCTGCAATTTGTGCGATTCGAAACCCTAACTCTGCTATGAAGACCGCCATTGAAAAGGTCTATCGGAGCTCTCAAATGCAGCCGAGTAAGCTCACCTCTCTCATGCGTTTCATCTATTTCAAAATTCAACTACATTGAGCTTCATTATATGTACTTACATTGTCTTCTTTCCAAATCCTATATCGATGCGTAATTACATGAATGAGTATGTACATCTATATGTATATATATATTCAGCTTCGCAACGCAGATCTGTGCTCGGCTCGGTTTTTACTTATTTTTGGCCTCTGTTTTTGGTTATTTGCTCCATAATTCACTCGATTTTGTTATAATTTCCTGTTATTGACGTTGAAGATTTCCTTAAAAGCTTCAAAACTTTAATTGTTATTTCTTTGTTTCTTTTAACAGTCTTATTTATTTGAATTTTAAATAAGTGTTTGGTTTCAAAAGCAAATGGTGTGTCAGGTCCCAACAGACCTCAAAGAGCCTATATTAGTAGGACTGTAACTCAGGCAAAAAATGATATTCCTCATTTCTGGGCAATCGATACGGACTTGGCAAATCTTTTTCGTGCAACAGGTCATTGTGTCAGATCCTGTGAGTTTTTCGGTTGTATCTTGAAGTCGTTTGTGTGGAGGGAGCACATAATGACTTTAGGATAACGTTTTTGACGTGCCTCTTACAATTGCACAGGCTATTTTCTGAACCCTTTTTGTCGTCTTCTTCTTATTCTGTTATGTGTATATATATATATATATATATATGGTTTTATCAAATTAGAAAAAAACCCTTTTTCAGAATCTGCTCTGTTTAATATCTTTATTCTATAAAATTGATTTAGAGTAATTATTGTTCAATTCCCACAACAATTGGTTGATTATGTCTTTTGAGAAAATAATTGTATAAAATTTGGGCTACATTCTGAGATTTTTTACTTTTTTATTTTGAGTGTTTTTGTACTTTGGTTTTATTGTGTACATTGGTTTGGATGTGAGTTTTGAACCCTTTGTTACATATATTGATGGAATTACGAAAAGCAGAGAGATTTGAAGAATCTAAAGCCTATGTGGTTTATGATACTTGATCTTCTTGACATCGTATATGTTAACATATAATATACATATAATATATCCCCCACTATGTATAGCTGTAACCTTGCATCTGTAAAGGCAACCTTGCATCTGTAAAGGCTCCATGTGTAGCTGTAAAGAAGGGAACTTCACTTTAGCCTTAGTTAATTCCAGGCATCCGATGCTAATTGTCTCCCTCTCCTCTCTATAAAGAGAGGGAGCTTGCTCTCTTGTAATTAATACTGAAACATAATACAATAACACCAACTTTCAGTCCCTCTCTTTTTCTCTCCCTCTTTACCAAACTCACAGTATAAATCACGTTCTGTTCAGAAGAATCTTAAATTTGACGTGTGATTTTGAGCTACAGAGATTTGAATTTAACAGGTATTCATTATTTTTTCTCTCAGTGCATTTGACATTGGTTGACTGACTATTTATTCAATCAACTTATGCAACTATGTTTATTTTTCTCTGGGCAGTTTACAGATTGCCGGCCTAGTATTGAACTATTCAAATATAAGGCTTACATTACATCTCTATATCGGTTGACCTGATATGCCATTTTGTTATGAAAAAAAAAAAATGGACAAAATGACTATTTTTGCAAGTCTGTTATTATTTTTCCCTACGTGAGTTCATTTACCTGAGAACATTGTTCCTCTTTTCACCCTTTGATATGCACATATCATTTGCTGGGAAAAAAGAAAAAAAATAAAAATCTTTTTTTTAAAAAAAAGCAGCTGTTTTTACAAACTAAAGGAAAAATGAAGACACTAGAGGAATTAGTCCCAATATGATGAATAACTAGTTATCTGCCTGGTCTAAGTTTCAAATAAGAGTGGGAGAATTTCATAAATTTTTTTATAATTGTAAAGAAAACTCATGAAAATGTCTTGCAGTATTCAAATATTTCCACCTACGCAACTATGAACATAGGTTTTTTAATTATTTAATATCGTATCTTTGGCTATTCCTAGTTGCTGAATTTGTTTTCAGGTCCTTCACTTATCTTTTCTGGGCATTAAACCAATCACAGAAATGCAGGTCTGATGAAAAGCATTTCAGCTTAAAGCCATGCATAGCCATTCTACAAGGCATGCAAATATGAATAAAGAAAATAGAACAGCTGCTAAATTTGAAGAGCCCACTGTTCGAATTACAAGAGCACGGGCTAAGGCATTAGCTACATCGGGAGGATTACCCCCATCAAAGCCTTCAATGAAACAAGAACAGAAGCTAATCCTCCAACAAAGTTCAAAAAGATCAGCATCAGATGAGAACAATCCTTCCGTTAGCATCACTGATTGTCTCCAGCATAAGAAAAGGGCAGTTCTAAAGGATGTCACTAACATTTTATGTGATAATCCATATATCAACTGCATTAATGCAGTCAAACTTCAGGTAAGGACAATATGTTAGATGGGTTCTTAATCTGAAGTCCAGTTTTCTTTTTTTCTAAAGCCAAAATTTATTTCCCATAAATTGTTTATTAGTTTTGTTGATAGCAAAATCGAGATGAATATTGAGAACTTAAATATTTCTGGGATGTTATCATTTTCTGTTCATGCAAAAAGGAACTTCTTATTTGTAGTTGGCTATATGCTCAATAAGCTCACCATCGATGTTTCTGCTTCAGTCTAGCAAACAGGTTAATAAAAGCATTGGGAAGAAGAATGCAAAGGTGGCACCAGTTGATGTCCTAGAAAATCCTCTGGTTCAAGAGGGTGCAGATGCAAAAATAACTGAAGAAATATCCAGATTGAAGATGGAGGAGTCACAACAAACTAACTCAACAAAGGGGCAAACTAAATCAATTAATGCTAGAGAATTTGGTGTAGCAGACATGATGCTTATAAAGCAAAGTTCCAATACACATGCTCGACAGCGAAGTCCTTCAAAGAAAGGTTAAATACTCTGCTTCATCTTATCCACCAGGTCATAACATATGAAAATATGGTTTGGCTTGCTATATATATAGTGGCTGACATGAAATGCACTGTTTCAACCGCTTGATTTATGTTCCTTTTTAATCTGCATAGAATCTTGTGAGCATCTTTGTATCGACTACTACAATATGCTGATCACATTGACGTGTGAAGTTTCTGAGTTTTCAACAAGATCGCATCTATTTATTACACATTTACATTGATCTATGAATCATTTCATATCTTTTAGTATCATTGATTTAGTCTTGAATGTCCTCTTGGTAAATTCATGCCCCCTTTTTTTGCTAAGCAACAAAAGTGTCTATACGGGAAAACTGGTCATCAAGCATGCTTCTTCAACATTTGGAGTCATATTATTAGAGGAACTTGTTTTTTCCTGTCATATGTTTTAGACAGTAAAAGTTAATTGTTTAGTCTCAAAATATTTATTAAATAGATTATTCTCCTTCAATAATTTATTAGCCAAGCATAATGTTCTTTTCTTGGGTCATGCAGAAGACAAGCATTGTCAAAAACTGGACACCCCAAAAGATTTGCAGATTGCAGATGTCGATTCTAACCACAAGGATCCTCAAATGTGCAGCCTGTATGCCCCTGATATTTATAATAATTTACGTGTTATGGAGGTTTGTATGGCTGCTGACCTGCCACATCATTTACTAATAGTTGTCACTATTTTACTTGCCTTTGATTTTGACTGTGCTCAATTGCACACCCTGCTGCTGCAGTACCAACCACTTTCATACGTGTTAAGTTATTGTCAAATTCTAACAGCAAGATAGAATTATGTAATCATTATAGGACTCCAACACAATATGATCTCCACATTAGTTGAGTTTGTCTCATTGAATGGCAATATCTGAAGACAAGAACTATGCATTTGCTTAATTTCCTTACTTTTTAAATAAATGCCTTTTTGCTTTCTTTTTGAAGCACATCAGCATTTTGGTTTGAAGTTTGAATTTTTTTTTTTACAACAAAATGTTTTTAAGTTTATACGTTCACATGTGTGAATCCCTCCTATTTTCAGCTTGATCGAAGGCCTTCAGTCAATTACATGGAAATGTTGCAGCAAGATATTAATCCGAACATGCGAGGAATTCTGATTGATTGGCTTGTGGAGGTTTGCTCAGCCACTTGGGCTTATGTACATTACATTGCTATGTAACAGTATATGCATCTGTTTGGAAAGACATGCAGTTTTTGTTTGTTCCGCTCAAGATGTTGGTGAAGCCTCATGAATTGTTCCCTTGGAATTATTTCAATAGACCAGAAACATTAATTTGTTTGTGCATGAATCTGCACCATCCATCTGAACAAACATTGGATTCATGATAAAAACTCATTTCGATTAATTTCTTCAATGCTCACTCTATAACTTTGCAAAGTAAGTATCAACTTCATTTGATTCTATCTTTCCTGGATAAGTTTCACATCTAAGAAGGTTGAAGCAATTACAATGTATAAACGCATATGGTCTTCTTTCCTGTATCTCACTTTGTTGCTCCTTTCGTTTCCAATAATTCCTTGTTTTTCCTCTTATTCTTTATTTATCTTTTTTATTACCACTGTTAAGCAGCGTAGTGTACATTGATGATTATTTTCTATCAATGAATATGAAATTTGCATTGAATCACTGATTGCTTTTTATGGGTAGGTCTTTGCTTTCAACTTTTTCTCTTTTCTTTCCTTGTTTTAATAAATGGTAGTCAGTTCTTATTTTGTTTACAAGTACCTAACCGCTATTAGTATTATTTTGGATCTTCACTTTCTATTCTGTAATATTGATATAAATCATGGAGTAGAGTACACCATACACTATCATATTATAGCAACATCTGATGTAAGGTTCAAACCAATCTTCGCTTGAAAACAAATTTTCACTCTGATGATCACTTGCTTTTTCTTGTACTTTACTAGTTAAGCTATACTTGTCAGAGTGTATTAATTTAGATTTCTAGCATTTAAGTTGATCCTTCTGTTAAAGTGCATAGTTTTTTTTTTTTTATATCAGTGGAGGGTGATGAAAATGTTTACCATTATTTCTATTTTCTCCTTCAGGTTTCTGAAGAATATAGGCTGGTCCCAGACACCCTTTACCTGACAGTCAATCTCATTGATCGATTTCTCTCTCAAAACCACATTGAAAAACAAAAACTCCAATTGCTTGGTGTTGCTTGCATGTTAATTGCCTCGTAAGTTCTTTGTTGTTGTTGGTGCCTTACTATTATTCTGCATGTTAATTGCCTCGTAAGTTCTTTGTTGTTGTTGGTGCCTTACTATTATTCATTTGAAATACCAGGAAAAATTGCATAGATATAATTCAAAAGCACTAATAGATTTTGATGATGATGAAACTTCTTTAATGTCAACAATATGATTGAATTCTTTACTATTTCAGTTTCTGTTTTTTTTTTTTTTTTTTCCTTTTTTTCCCCTTCAAGTTGCAGCCTCTCCACAAAAAGTGTGGTCAATTGTGTTGTTAGTGTAGGCAGAAGCCTTGTGCATTAGGAATGTCCCTTTTCTTTAGATTCATGAACTAGATTGCAAGATGTATCAAGTAATAGATAGATGAAGGCCAAAGATATCATATTGCATTTGATTTGATGAATTGGGAAGGAATTAATGTTTGTTTTCTCATTTAATTGTAACGACTCTGATTTGGATTTCAACAATACCGTATTACTGTCAATACCCACAAATGGATTTGAGAGATTATGTTGGTGAATTTCAAGTAGCAAAGGGAGTTCTTTTTTGAAATCAATCCAGTAAAGGATTCTAGTTGGATGTTTCCCACCTCTAGTCTGTACTCTTCCTTAACCCCCCTGAGTCTGACACCAATAAATAAATCCCTACATGTTTTTGAAGCTGTAATTTCCAAAATCGTCATCCCAGCTCATCCTGTCAAGAATTGGATATTGGTGAATATGCATTCAACAGTTATATTATAACTGCAATTATTTGTCTGAACCCAATTATTTATCTGAAGAGTCAAGTGTAAAAAGGAGTCATCATGTTTTCAACAATTGCCTTCACTAGTCCTTCGACGAACTGATGTCAGAAGATTTGTGAAATCAATATTAAGTACATTTGAAATCTCTTACTCTCTCACATGTGCATGTATGCCCATGAAGAAGCAACAACTTACTTCATCCATCATATTATTATTACATTGCTCTTAGTTGGAAGAATTAACTAACTGCAACAATTCACCTTATCCATTATATTATCATTACATTGCTGTCTTGATTGGAAGAATGAACCAACTTGTTTGTAGTTTATATATCCCAAAATCTCTTGCATGCATTGGGATTTGGGGCTAATGTATTACATAGCTTGTGGATCTTCTCCATAACTCAGGGATTTTATTGTTTGCTTCTTTTCTATTGTTGCCTGAAGAAAATATGAAGAAATTTGTGCACCCCGTGTAGAAGAACTTTGCTTTATCACGGACAACACTTACATGAGAGAAGAGGTATGTCCTAATCTAATCTTTGAAGCTGGGTTCTTCTGAATGCTTCAATCTATATTATGCAAAGAAAGAACTGTGGGATATTCAAAAGAGAGACAGCAGATGTACCAATTCTATTTTCACTCTAAAGCATATTTCAACAACCTCAGTTTTGTGTAAGTTTTCTAAATGAAACTGTATGTTCACTTGTGTAATAATACAAAGAATACATCGGATTATATAGTAAAACTAACCCCAAGACTAAAGGAAACACTGCCTAAAACACTGCCATATATATAAATCTAACTTAACGGAAACACTGCCATATATATACACCTATACAATCTCTCAAAAAAGAAAACACTGACTAACCTAATATTCTCACACCCCCACTCAAATTCAAGGTGCTGTTATAGAAAACATTGAGACTTTGCCAAGAAGAAACTGAAACCGAGTAGTGGTGTGAGTTTTGGTAAAAAAGTCAGCAAGTTGTAGAGCTGAAGAGGCGAAATGAAGCGAGATAGAGTCGAATTGTAGATGTTGACGGACAAAGTGACAATTAATCTCAATGTGCTTGGTCCGCTCATGGAAGATAGTGTTATGGGCAATCTGAATGGCACTACGGTTGTCATAATAGAGGGAGGTTGGAGAAGACTAGGGGAACCCAAATCAGATAAGAGACAACGAAGCCAAACAATCTCAGCAGTAGCATGAGTCATAGCACAGTACTCAACTTCGGCAGTAAAGCAAGCAACAACAGTTTGTTTCTTTCTTTTCCAAGAGATCAAGGAATCACCAAGAAACATACAGAAACTAAACGTGGACTTGCGATTAGTAACATCATCAGCCCAATCAGAATCAGCATAGGCCAACAAATCTAGAGAGGAAGTAGAGGACAATAGTAAACCCTGAAATATAGTATCTCAGAGATAGTGAAGAATTCAAACCAAGGCAGCCCAATGTGTGGAGCGAAGAGCAGAAACAAACTAGCTAACCACATGAACAACATAGGCAAGATCATAATGAGTAACTGTCAGACAGACTAAGCAACTCGCAAGCTTGCAATATAAAGTGGGATCATCCAGAGGGACACCATCAGTAGAGTTAAGTTTCACATTAAGCTCAGTAGGTGTATCAGAAACCTTAGTATCAGTACGACCAACACGGTGAGTGACCTCATTAGCATACTTAGCCTGAGACAGAAAATAGTCCTTTGGAGAAAAAAACAACCTCAATACCAAGAAAATACCGCAATTGACCCAGATCCTTCATCTCGAAGGTGCGGAAGAGATCCTGCTTGACCTCAAAGATAGCAGAAGAATCAAAATTAGTGATAATCATATCATTCATATATAGTAAGAGAGCAACAAAACTAGCTGAGGTATGTCTCAGAAACAAAGCAGAGTCGGAAGCAGAAGGATGAAATCTAAGTTCAATAACAACAGTCTGAAAGTGTAGTGCCCCACTTTTTATTACTCGAAGTCATTACCAAATTCATTAACTTGATTCAAGTTCAGAGATAACATGCGGAAATAAACTCTTTAGTCCCATGAGTAGAAATAAATAACATTTCTCTCATCCGAATGCAAATTAAATACAACATGAATATACTGAATAAAATGCCCGAAGGCTTACATCATTAAAGAATAAAAAAGAAGGGTGTAACCTTTTTTCATATATGGCATCCCGCCAACACAAAAGTGGCCCCGTGGCCAACAAATAAGAAGATCCACATCTTATAGCACGTCCTGCTTAACACCTGAAAAAGATTCAACAACGTGGGATGGACATATAGTCCAGGAGGGATCTCAACATGGCCCTCAACAATAATAACTTACAGATAGCTATGATCATGAATGCCCAATCTCATACTAGAATAATAATGTGGCAGTTTATACAAAATATACATAAGTATAAACTTTCCTTGAAAACAGCCATTTCATTCAACGCTATAAGCGATTTATCTTTCTTTTCTTTTCACTACCCTTTGTTCCCAAACTTTCATAACAATAACCACTTCTTAGAAAATCGATTTCTCTAAGCCCATTACCTTTCTCTCATTTTCTATACTTACAACAGATTTTCCCTTTTTCAAAACATACTTTCAAATACCTAATTTTCCTTCACACTTTCCCAAAATCTCATAATGGCATTTTGGTTTGTTCCCAATACATTCATATCTATACATGCATGCCTTCAATAAAGGGAGATAACAAATCATCAACATGTATATAATCAACAAATGAGGCAACTCGGCCCTCCAAAACTATAACCATCACAATCCATAATATACTCAGATACACTGAGACAAAAACAATAAAACTCTGCTCTACCGGCTATATGCACAGTAAGCCAAGGATACAACTCTCACAACGGTATGCCATTTTACCAGGCACTAGCTGGAAGAGTGTGGTACCTTAGATTCTCAGCGTAGTCAGTTCTCCAGGCGCTAGCTTGAAGGTAACGGTACCTTTGATTATAAGCGCAGGGTATAACACCAATAATCACGATACAACAGAGTATAACCAACAAGTGTAATACATACACATAAACTATCAAGATACATAAGTAATGTATTAAAGTATATGAACACATAGGTATGTGTGGAGTGCATCCTTTATCTCCTCCCACACACTGGAGTACATCCCTTGTCTCCTTCCTAACAATTATACATATATAATGTATCAAAGCACTTCATTACATACAATGTTCAATCAACACAGGTGTAATGCATACACGACAATTCAACACAACCATGCCATCCTCCACCGATGACCAATGACAAAACCTCTAGATGCATAATTTTAATACACCTATTATAAAGACTCAACTCTCATGAGATCTTAAACTCAACAACAACACTAGTACAATAGGTAAGGGTAAAACCCCCAAATGTGTGTATTCAACACTCATGATACAACAATTCAATTCTCATATTTATTTTCTAAAACTCACATAGAATTAACATTTCATTCCCCATTTCCAAGATCAACTTCCAGGATTTTCCAATTTCAAAACTCCTTTTTCATTTCACAAAACCAATTCCATTCATTATAAAGTCATAACCTGACTCGATTCAATACATTCGTTTCAAAACAACCCCAAAGCCATAGTTAATCCCTTAGGCATTAACACCTTCACCCAACTCATATTAACAATAGAGGTTTACAATATAGATTCACTATCCTCCATTTTAATTTATCAATCAAAATATGA